CGCAATCAGTACCTGGACATTAGAGGCACATACTATATTATCAAGAACAAACTTTGGTGAAGGATCGGAAATACCGGGGTCTGCACCAGGCTTTTGCACTTCTATTGCAGTTGAAAACCAAGGTATACCCTCCCTAGCATAGAACAAAATGTAAGCTTCCTGGGAAAGTACTTCTTGTTCTTCAACACAAGTAACCTGCAAAAAATAATCGACAATTACTCACCATTCATTCCAGTTCCATCAAAACGCTGGTATGTAATCGCATAAAGAATTTGAAATTCTTCAATACTATAACTTGACAATGTTGTTAAAATTTGACACCCAAAAAGGAAAATTTTACAATCAGTGAACTTAACACATTCAAAATGCAAGAAGGACAAGCAAAATTTTAAAAAGTTTCGGTCATAGAACTTTTATCCTTAAAAAAATTGAAATGTAAGTTACACTCAAAACAACTTTGTGAGCTCTTACTCTTGAATCATTGAAATTATGCCACGTATCTGGAGAGGACCGATTGTAGCAAACATAATGTCCAGAATTAGGTCTTGATCCAGAATGCTTCACAACTGCATAGAGTTGATACTTCAGTTTCTCCTATGACAAAAGGAGCATAATCGTAAAAGTTTAACAGTTTTGTACCATATAAGAAAATAGAAGCAAGTAGTACAGCTAATCAAACATCAGTTTTCTATTGCCTATCCCACCCCAAAGAACACGTAAACATACAAGTATTACTATTGGATATGTTAAAAGATATTACAAATGATGTTAAAATAATGCTATTCACAGTACTAGTCTCATTGAAACCAGTGAAAGGTTGCAAATCCAATCGTAATGGGAAAACAACATGTCTGTCAATCTTCTCAACATAGGTTCCTTTATTCTTAAATCTCTTCAAGTGAAATGTTGCAACTAAAGGAGCCTGATCCAGCATAAGCTGTTTTTCTATTGACACCTTGTGTTTACAACTCTCACAATTAAACTTTGCAACTGGATCATCTATATTTTACACCTTGGTGAAAGACTCTAAGGCACTTGGAAGGGTGTCAGCATCTTCAATCTCCAAACTCAAATCATTCAAAGGTTCATAATTTCAAGAAATGTGTCCACAATTGCAACAGCGTAGCTGAAACCATCAAAGTATTGTCAATAAAATACAGCATTTCTGACTCTAGAAATGGCTAATCGAGATCAAGTTGCATTGGCCTTACTCTGCCAACTAGTCGACCACCAAAAATCCTCTTTACTAAGCAAACATCTGTAGAAGACGAACAATCATCCTGCAGCTTTAAGTTCGAGCAACAGAGTTCAAGCCTATTTAACAAGCACTGAAAGAACTCATGAGCATCTTCCTGTTGATATGGATATCTTCGGAAACTAGGTCAGATACCTGGATTTAATGTGTCAAGAATCAAAATTAAGAAAGAACTCTGTTTTTCTTCTCTTGCAAGTTACTTCTCTGTACTTCTAGTGAACCTTTCCGAAGAAAGAAAAAATAAGCCTAACAAACTAGTGTTGAATGCTCTAAAAACCAATGCTGGAACAAAACATATCACTATTTATCAACATCTAAAACAAGAATTACTAACTTAACTACATTAACAAGCTAATAATAAATAACAAAGAAATCAAAGGATACAGTTCAATTTTTCAAAAATCTTGAAAGGTGAAACAGCGCCTCCAGACGAACTCAACGAATGCTCAATGTGATCATGAATAGAGCTAAGTAAACTAAAGCTATTAATATCACCTGAAAATCCCAACAAAACTAATTGGTTAGAAATCCCAAAGGGAGAACCAATAAACAGGTTAGTGCAAAGAGTCTTACCATCACAAGGTTTTTTATGAAAATTCAAAGATCGAAGACCCAAAACAAAAGGAACAGTATGAGTATAGCATTGCAAAATGACTTTGATAAAACATGTGTTACCCAAATTTTCCAGCCCTGCACCCTACCAAATCCTATATCCAAATTTTGAATTATTCAATTACCAGTCGTGCATACAAATAAACTCTACAAACATTAAATAAAATAACTAACCACCCGGTTGGTTCATTTTCAATTCTAAAAGCTTCTTTAGGAGGAACCCAGGGAGTTGGACGCCATGGCGTCCATGCAGAATCTTCGTTTTCTAGGCTAATACTGCTAGGCCATTCCCAAGGGTCTTCTTTATCTTCTTGACAGTTCACGGGTTTCTTAGAATTGCAAGGGGCCAAAGCTAGAAGCTGAGACGGTTCGAATTCAGTATAGGAACACGAAGGGTTTGATAAGTAAATGAAAACACGCTATCGGTTGACGCCGCAATCTCAGGAAAAAGAGGAGTCGTCACTGCTTCTTCGTCGAGGAAACTCGCCAACATGGTATCAAGATCAGTAGAATCAACCGCCATTGGTGAAACAAATGAAGACCCAGATAAAGAATCGGCCTGTGGGAACCCATCAAGGCCTTCTCCAGGAAGGAAAGGTTTCGAAGGAGAGGGATCATCCAAGCTTTGGGTTTTAGTAGCATACGCTTGGGTTTCCATTGAAAGATGGTAAAGGAAGCTTGCTGGGAGTTTCGAGGGGAGGAGATAGAGAAATTGGATTCCTTTGTACAACAATTTTGAAACGGGAGGGAAAAACTATATGTAAAGTAGACTTAATACTGTAGAAGGTGCATCAAAAGTTTGACTTCTGATTTTTGGTCAAACCTTTTTTTTTATAAATTACACAAATAGTCTCCCGACGATTGAATACTTGTTGAGTCCTCAACTATTAAAAGTTACAAAATGGTTTTTTGATTATGGGTTTTGTTGAGTCATTCGATTATTAAAAGTTATAAAATAGTCACTCAACTATTCATATATTTCAAACTCGTCATTTTCTATTAAAAAATGACGACAGTTTGAGCTGGACGTTAAATTGTTGATTGAGATATGATAACATCCAGTTCAGACAACTGTCAATTTTTTTGTGAAAAAGGACAAGTTTGAAACTATCATATCTCAGCTAGCATGTTAACATCCATTTTAGACAACCGTCAATTTTTTACGAAAAAGGATAAATTTGAAACTATTGAATAGTCAAGTGATTATTTTATAACTTTTAATAGTCGAAAGACTTAACAAAACACCCTATAGTCGAAAGATTATTTTGTAACTTTTAATAGTCGAGAGACTCAACAAAACGATACTCTATAGTTAGTGTACTATTTATTTACTTTACTCTTTCTCTTTTCAAAAGTTTATTTTTTCCTTTTCAAAAGTTTTAGGTTACTTTTATGATCACCCACTTATTATTTAATTTCTAGTTTGGTCACTTAACTATTATTTTCTTTCGAAATTATATTTAATATTATGTTTTATTTCTATTTTGGTTATTCACTGTTAAAAAATTAGCGGTGATGCTGACATGGTCATATTTTATGATGACACGTCATCATCACAACTAATTTTTGTAACGGTAGATATCAAAACAGAATAAAAATATAACATTAAATATAATTTTGAAACAAATAATGATTTGATGATCAAAACAAAAATTAAGTAAGAAGTAGATGATCAAATAAATAGTTAAATTTTAACCAATGTCGGTTAAGCGAAAGGTTATACTCGAATCGAGTATTTAATATTCTCTAAAGATCTTCTTTAGAGGTATAACAAGTCCTCATCGACGACACCCTTGTATCATCACCCTCCCCTTCTTGTCGTATAGGAGCTTCTAGTGTAAGATGCAGGCACTGGTAAAAACACCGCCCTTAAAAGCCGACGGCCAAGAGATCCCTAGGCGATGACTAACAGCCACTCCATGGCCAGCGTAAAAGACTACACGACGACAACTTCCTTGAAAGGATACGAGGATTTCCAGGACAATGATAGAAGAGCAAATCATTAGGCATTTTCTTGAAGCTTCCGATGATGAGCTGGGGATTCCAAATAGAGAAGATGGTGTTGTCGGCGTTGGGTTCGATGAAGGGTTCAACAATGGTGGAAATGGCTTCGCATGCTGTGATGGGTTATGGCATGGGAGCTTGAAGATGAGACTGCTAATTACAACCCTTTGTTACACTGAACTATTCATGTATATTATGTACGGAGAAAAATATTATGCAGTAAGTGACGGTAGGGGTAAAAATTGAGAGAAATGGGAAAACTGGGGAGTGTGGGGTAAATATTAAAAAAATGAAGGTGTTTGATTATATTATCAAATTTTATATTAATTTTAAAAGTTATTTTATTTTCCATCTTTTATTTTTTAGTGAAATAGACATTGGATTTGTGTTCGGGAGGTCAAAAAGGAGTGAATTTGAAATTTTAAGATCCAACTGTTGTTGGTGGTGACCAGTGATGGTAATCGACGATAACCAGCGACAGTGATGAGTAACGGCCAACGACATGAATTTTAATTAGATTTAGGGATCAAATTGATATTTTACATAAAATTTAAAGATTAAAGCAATATTTTATGTAAAATTTAAGATCAAATTAGGATTCTATCTAAAATTCAGAGGTCAAGTTAAAAGTTAACCATTTCTTCTAATGTGCCACGTCTTTAAAGAAATGAGTTAACATTCAGTAACCAAAATCAAAGAGATAAAATACAATAATGATCAAAATTATTTTTTTAAAATCCGTGACCAAAATTGAATAGACTAAAAACTTAAAATACCATAATTGTTTACCCTATTATTTATTTCAAATTTAAGAGGGTTGATGTCTGTTAGTCGTTTAATTAAAATACCATCATTGTTTACCCTATTATTTATTTCAAATTTAAGAGGGTTGATGTCTGTTAATCGTTTAAGGATCGAAGGTAAAGAAAAGATATTGATTGAATGGTTATATTTGTAGTTTTTCATAATTTAGTGACAAAAAATGGCATATATAAATAATTAAGAATCATTAGCATAGTTTACCCTTTAAAAACACTTTGGACCCGGAGGCTTTTCCCCCCTTACCCAAACCCAAATTATCCAACCCTTATAAACCCTAAGATCAAATACTCCATGCTTGTCTGATGCTTTCTTTGTCCTTATTTTCTCTCCACAGCCGAAATCTTCTCATCTCTCTTGAGCATTCAAAGGAGGTGTTTCCTTACTAGGCGATGACCATGAAGGATCACGAACAATCATTCTCAAGATCAAGAACAAAGAAGTCCAAGAAGAGGAGCAGAGAAGATGATATCCATGAGCCAATGGGACCAGTAAAACAGAGTCCTGGAACAAAACATGAGAATTTGCAAGTAAAAATCCAGCTTTATCAAGAGCAGACAAACAAGATTCCACCTTTACTTGCCTATTTCCCATCAGGTTATAATCCTTGCAAAACCCACCAAGAGGAGGAAGAAGGAGCCAACACACCCAAGGTCAGGGTTTTTAGACACACGGCTCAGAGGAAGGGTAATAGGCTTCAGGTTGTGGTTAGCCCTGGTGGGTCGAATGTGGATTTTGTGGGATCGAGTTATTCAGGTGAAGCCGCTGCTGCTCAAGTTTGCAGGTACTCACTTGGTGTTCTTGATAAGGAAGCCGGGACCCTCAAAATTATTCCTATTGCTACTAATAAGGTAAAATTTTCTGTGTATTGAAGTAAAACAAATTATTTCTATTGCTATTGCTTCATGTTCTTGCTTTTTCTGTTTTGTTTTTATGTTGTGATGAATGGACATAGAAACTTGGATTGATTTACAAACTATTGGATTTTTAGTTATATAATGGAGATCTTTGTGGTGAGCTAATTTGTAGCTAATTTGTTTTATCAATTCTTTAATTATTGAATGGGGGAAAAGTGGTGTGGGAAAGTAAGGGAAATCTTGTTGATGTTGCTATTGAATGAGAAGTTTCTTGTGGTTTAGTTAATCTGTTGGCTTGTTCGATTTAATTGTAGATATTTAGGATGGAACCAAGAGTTCGAACCTCGGAGACTGCTAATGAAGATGCTTCAGTTTCGGCGAAGAGTGAACTTACTACCTATAAAAAGGACAGGCTCGACAAGCTGGGAGAACTTACTGCACTTTATGGAACAAAGAAGGATAGAAAGAAGGTTTGGCACTTTCTTGCCCCTCAGTTCTTTCAGTGGAATTATGGTGTTACCTGTAAATACAGATTCATGTATGTTTGATTGACTCTTTTGATATTTCTCTGCTCAAGTGGTAATGCAATCGACTTTTGTTGGTTTATTTATAGGGTTAAATACACATTACTATTTGAACTTACACTTATTTACATTTGTAGTTATAGAATAAAAATTAGTAATTAAGTATTCGAAGTTTATTCCATCACGCACTTTAGCCTCCTCGCTAACACCTTGTCCAAGGATGGCATGCATTTGTGATCGATGGTTAATATCCAAATGCCACCTGAGAGCAGTAAAAGCAAGAGTCTCACTCCACCAAGTCCTATGAAACAACAGCCAATGTTTTATACCGGTTGGACTATACGTGGATACATTCCAGAAGTTCTCCAAATGCCTTTTGGCAAGCGGACAGTTAGAGCAGCTGTCATGGTCATCACTCAATTCTCAAAGTCCATTTTTTAGTTTTCCTATTCTATTTCTTTAATTAAAAAAACAATTTTTTATATTCCTTTGTGGCTTTTTTTCATATGTGATGATTTTTCTGCTTGCTTTTGTCATGTCATCCATGGGGCAAAATTGATGTACCTTATTGTGATCTTTTATTATATAATACCAGTATGACAAAAGTGATGTACTTCATGGGGCAAAATTTTATTTATTTTAGTACAATTAAAAGGTTTATCAACTTTATGTGTAACCTTTAAATCTTGTATAATGCAGCGGAAGGATTTTATTGATTTGAAGAAGGAAGCCGATCCTGCATCCCAAAAAGAACTAGAGAAGAAGATTGGGGAAGTAGCGTTTGACAAGGAAGCTTTGGCAAACACCACCGCCATTATTGCTCGTAATATCCCCCCACATGACGTTTCTGCTATTACGCCCCCAGAAGCTTATCCACTAGACAAGATTATTCTCAAGGGAGACTGGGATTTTCTTGGGGATATTCATAATCTTTTGCAAGTGGGGGAAGAAGTTGCTAGCAACGCTTATCCACATTTTGTTTGCAATAGAATTCGAAAATTGGAAGCCACTCAGGTATGACCATGAGAGAAAAACTTATGATTTGCCAGCCTGATTTTTTTTCATTTTTTTAAGAGAATCTCTATACTTGTTGAAAACACACACATGGGAGCTCGGTGTTCTTGATGGCTGATGATATATTCTTATGATGCCTTAACTGCAGGATGACACACAGAAGTGGAAACTGTCGTGCGTGTTTTCGTATATTACCCATCTTGTGAAGTTCAGGGATCAGTTCTCCATGGGACAGGCTTCAGCAAAGAACCATAATATCCCGAGCATCATACGGCACAGATTTTTTAACATGTTTACTGATCCAGGTTCAAAAATACTAGCCAGTGACAAAATCGATCTTCTGATTGGTTATGTCTTGGTTCTCACTTTACATGCTGATGGATTCCGAACTGACCCAACGGATATAGCAAAGGATCTAAGAATCAGTAAAGTAGATTTGAGACGTCACTTTTTGAATTTGGGTTGCATACTTGGGCATCAGAACAGCGTATTGTATGCAACACTTCCTGTTCCTCTAACATTTCCTTCAGAGAATTTCAGGAAGAAGCGGAGACAGTAGATGGATCGACCATTGCAGATGTTACTGTACTCCTTGACATCAAATGGAGGTGGTTTTATCTTGGTAATGTGATTATGACTCCATGACGAATCTTGATTTATCGATGTTTTCATTATTACTTTTAAGGAAGGATGATTTATGGTTGATTGATAAGGGGCATGCAACTGTGTTTTGATATTATATTAACTTCTCATCGAGCTATATCAGTCCAAGAATTAGCATCCTATCATTCTCTTTTTCCTTTTAGTCATTGTTTGTTGAATTCATGTTTTCCTTTGGAAGCAGAGTTGTATAAGAATTAAGAATCTAATACAACAATCGTTTTAATTTACCTAATTACTTAAAACAAGTAGTTCATAATTTTAACATGCCTTTCCTAATACACAATGTCAAACATTCATTGTTTTGTATCTGATACACACAAACAATTACTGCTGTGCGAGGAAGGGAGTAATGAAACACCACTTCTGTTGGTGGTATCAAGTTACAGAAAAACACCCTGCCATAACATTTTTTTTCTTTCAAAATATTATTTCTCCTGTTCTGTGAAAGAATTTTATGATTAAAACACTTTACATTCACTACAAGAACACATAGGCTGGTATTAAAGGATACTCTCCTGCAAATCCGACAAGAGAGTGGATGCCAACGAGCTAAGTTTCTTTCCAGTTTCTCCGGCTATGTTCTTAAGGTTTGAAATATCGTGCAGTGTCAGAAAGTGAATTTGATGATGAGGATAATCATAACAAATCAACTTAACCCAATAAAGAAAACAAGAAAACAGGGTTAATATAAGCTCCCAAATTGCATATTCAGGTGATGCATAACAGATGCAATATACATGCAGACCTGGAAAGAGAGTCGGTTGATGAGATCACTAGCAGCAAGGTCAATAGAACTATCAGCAGAGTGACCAAATAGATCAGCACTGGAGATGGCTGTTGAACCCTGCAAAAAATAAAGTTGGCAATCAAATCTCAGAAAACACATTTCAAAGATAAATTAGCACTTATTACTGCTCTCAACAGATAAATGGATTACCAACTACTTCCAATTATGCCTATATTTGTTAAAGATGATTAAAGAAAGCATATTCCAAAAATTAGGATTCTAAGTGATGCTATTGCACTAAAACATAAGTTGATGAAGAAAGAACTGATGCTATTACAGTCTACTTTGTTTATAGCAGACTGTTAACTAGAAAACTAAGGATGTTATGAGATGGTACTAAAAGTCAGAGGCACATATGGATACAGCATTTTGAGCCTTAGAAAAGACGATATCTTTCAAGAAAGAAATACTAGTGGTCTAGTTAGTGCACGTACTGAGAATTTCTGCAAAGTAACTTGAGCTTCATTGTCTACTCTGGTATGAACACCAAAATATTGGGATGATGAAACAGATTTTGCATTAGAGAACTTTCTCCTAGCTTCGTCAGTTTCCTGAATCTGAGAATAAAATGAAGCAATAATAGGAAAAAGATGATACAAGCAGAAATAATTACTAAGATTGATCCCTTCCAGGGGGACATCATACGAGGTGAACACTTCCCAATCCCAATTTTCACACATTACGCTACATGGACATTTCTAATATCGGAAGTAAAGTCTATTTGATTCGTTAGGTAAAGGTGACACATTCAAGTATATTAATGATCGAGTAAGAAATTGATTTTCAAGGAAAAATGTAACTCCAGGCTCTAGTTAAAAGCACAACCAGAATAATATACTAATTTCAATATCTTCATGTTAGACATCCTCATGAAGTGGAAAATCTCTCTAGCAGTACAAGGTTTTCAATTGACCTGTGATATGAAGAATCATAGAGAAAGTAAGTTATCCTAAAACAAAGTGTATAGACATCTCTGTACAAAAACCGAATTTTCTCGGATCATTCATTCCTTCCTTCAGTTGAATTTCAGGAAACTCAAAACTGCAGAATATAATCTGCTCAATAAAACGTTTTCCATATTTTAATCCACACTAGATGTATCAGTTTTGATGCATAAATTTTATCATAAAAGTTCATCTAAAGCGGCGGGAAAAGCATTTACTACGATTTAGTACTTGGAAGCGCAAAATTAAAAAACATCAGTAATTAAAGCAAAACACGAAAACTAGATCCGAAAACATATTTAAAATAATAATAACAAAACCTGACAAAGCTGATGTGTACACCGAGATTGCGATGAGCGGCTGATCAATCAATGCAAAGAAAGATCCCGTAAGTCACCGACGCCCATGTTGGATTCTTTGCATTGCAATCGAAACACATCTAAGAGATAAAAATCAAAGATCAACTAAGGGAACTTCAGATCTTAATCAGATCTACAAATATGGTTAGGAAAAAATTTAAAAAGAGGGAAAAAAACATTGTTTTCTGATTTTGCTTTCAGCTTTCTGAAAACAGCATTCTTATCGGTCAGATTATCGGACGTCGACATCGATGCTTTCCTCTCTCTCTCTCTCTCTCTCTCTCTCTCTCTCTCTCTCTCTCTCTCTCTCTCCTCAAAATTTTCGAATATTAGAGAGGAAGATAATTATATGATTATTTATGTGGAATTTATGAAGAATGAAGGAAAATTTGATGTACTGAAGAGGGGTGGGATCGACCTCCTCAGGCTTTACCAATGGGAGATTCAGAAACTAGAAAGAAAGCTAATCAAATTCGATTCGGTTTAGTTTTGTTTTAGTTTTTCTGTAATGCAAGTTACAGATAACTATGTAATTTTATTTTCTCTCTTCTCATTCACTGTATTTTAATTCCCCCCCCCCCATATTTTCACTAAATTTAATATATTAGATTTTTATAGTCATTCGACCGTTTCGTTTTCTCACTATGAGGTTATAAATGAATTATTATATAGATGTAAAACCTAATGTATTAAAACTGAGTCCTGTTTGCATTGGACTTAAAAATTTTAAAGTTCAATGAGCAAAACAAGAGAGAGAGTATAATTCAGTGATGGAATTTGTAATTTACTCCTATATTTAAAGGGTAAACTACGAGATTTTGGCATAATACCAAAAATAACCCTCATAGTTTAAAAAGGCATAATACCAAAAATAACCCTCATTATTTACTAAAATGATAATTTTGGCCTTTATTCTTTTTTTGGAACATTTTGACCCCAACATTTCATTTTAGGGCAAAAAATTCCATGTATAGATGAAATCATTAGTTAACACATGATTAACACTCTAAAATATGAAATGTTGAGGGCTAAAATGTCCAAAAAAATAAGGGACAAAGTAATTATTTTGTCAAATGTTAGGGTCTTTTTGCCCTAAAAATAAACGTTGGAGGCCAAAATATTCCAAAAAATAGAATAGGGGACAAAATAATAATTTTGACACAAACGTTGAGGGGGACTAATTTTGACACTATGCCTTTAAAAAACATACCATTTGATTATTATTTTTATTTAATTAAGATGTAGGTAAATATCAATTAGATCTTTAAGGGATTGTTAACATGAATATATAAAATTAAAAAGGGTAAACTATACAAATGATCACTGATATTTGAGTAATTTTTTGTTTTTTATATTGAAATTTCAAAAATAACAAGTTAGTCGAGACCATTTTATAATATATGTATGAGTAAATTACAAATCTGGTAACTGAATTTTACTTTCTCTCTTATTTCACTCACTGTACTTTAAATTTTTTCATTTTTCTCACTGAACTTAATATGTTAGATTTTTTTGCCATCCGGTCGTTTTCTCACTAACGAGGTTATAAATGAACTGTTATATAGATGCAAAACCTAATGTATTAAAATTGAATCTCGTTTTAGTGAAAATTTTACTTTTTTAAACGACATCGTTTTAAGCCGTTAACTATTTAACGACGGAGTGACAAAAAAAACTAATGTATTAAGTTAAGTGAGGAAATTAAAAGTTTTAAAATTCAATGAGCAAAATAGGAGAGAGAGTATAGTTCAGTGATGAAATTTGTAATTTACTCCTATATTTAAAGGGTAAACTACGATATTCAGTTTGAAAAAGGCATAATACCAAAAATAACCCTCATTGTTTACTAAAATGATAATTTTGACCCTTATTATTTTATTTTGAACATTTTGGCCCCTCAACGTTTCATTTTGGGGCAAAAAATTCCTTCAATAGATGAAATCATTAGTTAACACACGATTAACGCTCTAAAATATGAACTTTTTTAACCTAAAATGAAATGTCCAAAAAAAATAAGGGACAAAGTAATTATTTTGTCAAATGTTAGGGTCTTTTTGCCCTAAAATAAATGTTGGAGGCCATAATACTCCAAAAAAATAAAATAAGGGACAAAATAATAATTTTGACACAAACATTGAGAGGGCTAATTTTGGCATTATGTCTCTAAAAAACATACTATTTGATTATTATTTTTATTTAATTAAGATGTAGGTCAACATCAATTAGATCTTTAATGATTCATATCTTATCCATATGCTGAAAGCATAAAGTTCATTAATTGATTTTATGCTAATTTGTTGATTCAAAAAGCTAAATTTTTTGTCTCAAGTTAATATCATATATATATTGAAATTAAGTTCAAGCTTCACCCATGTTTCCCACAACGAGTAATAGCAACAGTTGGTAATACTTCTTCTATTTTCTTTTGTGTCGATTGGATTTCGTATCAGTTCAGATCATTCTCGAACATATTTTGTAAAATGGTTTAGACCAATATGTTATTTTAACTTCAGTGGGGAATTTTTTTTATTCAAATATTATTGACCATTTGTGTAGTTTGCCCCTTTTAATTTTATATATTCACTGTGTGAAGCCAAAAGTCCGTTAAAAGTCTAACGGCAGTCAAACTTCAGTGATCACATCTTAATTAAATAAAAACAAAAGTGACCAAATATTATATTTTTTTAAATTCAGTGAAGAAAAATGTATAAAACTTAAACGAATGTGATCAATATTGTAATTTACTAATTTTTAAATTATTATTTTATTATTACGGAAAGTAGAAACGTAGGAGGATCAGTTTCGATTAAAATTATAAAATTTATAAAACAATCATTAAATTTAAATTTAATTTAAAAATAATTGTCTATATTATATCTCTTTTCAACTTTTGGCGCTCAAAGTTTTACCGTTCAAAATGAGTGTCTAACCTTTTCCGTTACCATTTAAAGTGTCTTATCATTAGCAATCATTAAAAATAATCAAAAATAATCAATCAATCAATATTTAACATGTAGTATAGTTTTTAAT